AAATGTTTTAATTGGATTGAAATGTATTCAGATTAAATAATCCGAATGTACTGTTTACATGGACACAATCCGATCATAAAAAGTGTTTACATGCACCGGAGTTTTATTCAGAATAAAAGTCCGGACATGCGCAGTGTTGTAAACTTTCAGCTCTACTTCCGTGTTACAAATGTAAACCAAGCTCCTCTGTGCACTCAGGACGGACCGTGTTAGCTTTTAATAACGGTAGAGACGCCGTCACTCCTCGGTTGAGCTGCAGCCTGCAGATGAAGCAATACGTGCTTTTTATTTTTATTTCTTGCGAAGCAACGTCTGCTGTTTGCCTCCTTTTCATCTGTTAAGAGAGCGWGGAGGAAAAGTTCTGCACGGTGCAGCGCAGCTGGAGCTCTGCTGTCCCACCGGGTGAATGAAAGTCAGCAGACATGCGCACAGGTCAGTTTTCTACAATCAGAATAAGATGATCCGATTAAGTTTTTACATGAACCTCATTCCGATTATCAATCGGCAAAACCCACCCTTTTCATTCGGGTTAAAAATTCATTTGGATCGAGCTCAATCGTATCAGAATAATCAGAACGGGCTGTTTACATGACGCATTTTTATTCCGAATGGCTGTTTAATCCGATTACTTTTGTCCATGTAAACATTGCTAATGACAGACAACAAATATTACATTTGTAGTATTACAACTAAAACCGTTTTTGACGCCGCCACCGCAGTTTGTCCTTCATGAGCCTTCGTAGACAAGATGGCGGTGCAAGATGGCGGCAGCCTGTGTGGCGACCCGCGACCATGGAGATATAAACAGCTTTTTATAAGGTAAAAATAATAAAACAAGGCCTTTGCCTGCAATGATTAGACGTTTTTATTATTGTCATTAGTGATTATCTCAATTTCGGCTAAAAGAATTGACAAAATCCTACCTTTAACATATAAAAAAGGAGGCAAACAGCAGACATTGCTTCGCAAAAAATAAAAATAAAAAGCACGTATTGCTTCATCTGCAGGCTGCAGCTCAACCGAGGAGTGACGGCGTCTCTACCGTTATTAAAAGCTGACACGGTCCGTCCTGAGTGCACAGAGGAGCTTTGTTTACGTTTGTAACATGGAAGTAGAGCTGAACGTTTACAACACTGCGCATGTCCGGACTTTTATTCTGAATAAAACTCCGGTGCATGTAAACACTTTTTATGATCGGATTGTGTCCATGTAAACAGTACATTCGGATTATTTAATCTGAATACATTTCAATCTGACTAAAACATTTTGTGCATGTAAACATAGCTGGTATAATTTTACTTATTAAAGCTCATAATCTTACCACTTGAAACATCACTAGCCCTGAAGCTGCTGGTAGACATCGCGTTTGGAATTATCAAAGGTTTTTGACACCTGAGAAACACCGTAGCAACTCCTTTGCATTTGGAAGCAGGGGTGGGGGTGGGGGGAGGACCAGGGAGGATGATTCAACCACTCAACCACTAGATGTCGCTGAAAACAACAAATCCTACACACTGTGCCTTTAATATGTTCTCTTTCTGAGGCAGTTTTAATAACATTACTTTATTGTGACCCACTGGATGGATTAAAATAAAAATGATACAACACTATAACTTCTAGACTTTTACAGTAAATTTAAATCAAGATGGCCTCCACAGCTTATCAGTCTTAGCAAGCACAAATGACCATAGTTTAGTCTATTTYACAGAAAATGAGCTAAAATTTGGCATGGAAGTAGCTAAAATTTATCTCCTACATACCAAGTGTTAAAGTTTAGGCCCGTGGGCCAAATGAGGTCCACCAAGGCATCGTGGCCTGCAAGAGATCCAAAGATGTATTGTCTTAAAATAAACATAAGCTGCTTTAAAGCCAGAACTGACCCTAAACTACTGTACATCTCCCATAGTGCATGTTGATTATTTTACCAAAATATCTAAGATATAAGATATATAAGATGGGGTACCGGGCCACTTGATACGGGCTGTCAGGTCCTTGTACGACCGGTGTCAGAGTCTGGTTCGCATTGCCGGCAGTAAGTCGGGCTCGTTGCCAAGGCTGCCCTTTGTCACCGATTCTGTTCATTACTTTCATGGACAGAATTTCTAGGCGCAGCCGAGGTGTTGAGGGGATCCGTTTTGGTGGCCTTATGGTGCGTTCACACCGAACGCGATTTCAGCTTCAAAATCGCAGCC